GGATCACGCTCAAGGTCGTGCTTTCCATCACCATCTGGCTCGGGCTCTGATGCATTTGAACTATTTGGCAGGGCTTCTTCCCTTTTTCGAGCCCTCCATTGAATGGGAGGACTCAATGCCTCCTCAAAATTTCCGTCTGGACCGCACTGCATCAAGAAGCCTCCACACTTTCGTTCCTTTACCTCCATCGTCAGTGTCACCCACAATGGTAACACATGGAGGCATCCCGTCACACATGGTGGAAAATCCTGAACCCAACCTTCGTCCCACCACCTTGCGCCCTCCATCTTATATGGAACGGGACCATACGTCAACCAACCCCGTTGGCATTCGCAGCCCAGTTCTCATGTCGGATCCCGATCCTATTCCGGGCAATCCATCTAGCACTGACCCTGGTCGAGGAAAACCTCGGACCACAATCCCAGTCCCGGTTCGTTCCAAGCAAAGGGCCTCTTCAACAGTCGACCCGCAACCAAAGAAGAGACAAAAATTGTCCACTCCTCCGGAAACTCCAATGTCAATGGTCAAGGGAGAAGTCACTCCTGGCCCGCTTCCAATTACTTCAGAGGCCGTTTCCAATGCCCTCAATTCTGATGACTCTGACGGCGATGCCGCATCAGCAGCTGCTTCCGCTCACGGCACTGAAGTCAATTATGGCCATCGTGGCGAGTCAACATCCCACGTCACCATTCCTCCTGGTACCTCCACACTTACTTTGACTCCAAATCCCAAGGCACCAGCATCTCCCACGTATCGAATCCTTCAGCCAAATCCAATGGATCCACCTCGTGCTCCACCATTCCGTCCATGGACCAACGCAGATGATCAAGAGCTGATGAGTATGAAACAGGACACAAAGTCCCGTCCTTCTTGGAAGACGATCGGTGCAAGACTTCATCGCGATCCCCAGGTATGCAAATTGAGATGGGGTATCCTGAAACAAACGCTCGGGACTTTTGACCAACACGGTCCTGACAACCCACCCCTCGAACCAGAGGCGGAAGACTAACTAACAGTATTGCACTGTCAATGCGAGAAAAAAGCGGACCTGCATGTTGTTTCACTGGACTAGTTTTTCCCTTCTATTGGGCTTTCCTTCTTTTCTTTCTTTCTTTCTGCTTTCTTCTTCCTCCTTTTCTGTGTTTGTCTCTTCTTCCATTCCTCGTTTTTCCTCAGCAAATATGGCTCATTCATCAACTTTTCGACGAACCGTTCCTGAACGCTCTCGTTCGCGGGACGACCCTATGTGGCACAGTCACCACTCACAACAACGTGGTCGACCATATGATCCAAGACCTGAGGTACCTCCTGCGCCTCGTCTCCGGAAAGTACTGGCGATTGTGGATCTTCAATCGGTCCGTCCGCTCATGACCAAACCCATGATGATGTCATGGATGCCACGACATGCGATGTTACACCGTCTCTGAGCAGGGTGGAAGAAAGAGCCCTATTCACTTTCAATGTCTTACTCAATACTCATCGTCTCGAATCTTTCACTGTGTACAACCTTCTTTATTGCATCAGCCAGCACATCTGGTACACCTGGGATCACTACTTGCCTCCGTCTTCCATGGACATCAGATGGCAAGACGAAACTGGCGATACATTTGCTCTCCGCAACGAAAACCGACTTGTTGATCTTCTTCATGATTTCCGTCCTCATTGGACTGAAGGTCAAGAATTGGGCATTTTATTTCCCAATGATGTTCGACCGTTTACGTCTCACCTTCAGCCTTATATCATGCGCATGAGCTGCCATGAAGCCCTTCCCAACCGCAATATGCTTCCATGAGATGGTCAAAAAAGTTCCTTTGCATTGCCGACTTGGTTTTGGTTTTCTTGTTCGTGTTCTGGTCCTTGGTCTCTTTTTTGTATTGTTTCAAGCTTCTTGGCTCCTTTTCAGCACTTGGCTCCAGCTGTACCATGACCAAACGTGATTCCCTGCTTGCCGGCTTCACGTACCCTTCATCTTCCATGAGCATGCCACGTCGTTACTCATGGAGATCTCGTAGTCATGGACATCCCAGTAGCACTGCTGCTCCTTCGGACCCATTTACTCCTTCTCGCAGTGACACTGATCCCACAGCTTCTGATGCTGGGCCATCCATCCTACCTGCAGGATCAGGTGACCATACATCCCATTATGGATACTCAACTGCAGACACGGCCACACCCATCCCAGCTCCTGCCGATCACCAGACTCCAATTCTTCCAAGACTTGAAGAAGAAGCTTATCCACTCCAGATGGAATTGGCAGAAACTCGTCGTCAGCTTCACGCGTACTACTTTGTCGAGGTTCAAACACCTCAAGCTGACAAATCCCAACCGGCACTTCGCCGACTTATGGTGACGGAAGTGGATCGACGTGGGGTCCATCGAAACAGGCAGCCGGAGTTCTTCTTCAATGGGATCATCGGCCACATTCGTGCTGGTCGAAACGGTTGGATTGACTCCTGGGATCAATCCTCCCAACTTGCCAACTACTGGCGACGCTATTTCCAAATTCCAGAAATGCCCCCGGATGGAAATTGGCATCCCTATCACCATGAAGTCCCAGAAAGCCCAGTATCCGTACAAGGATCCGGCATGGAAGACACCGACTCCATCGCCGCCAATGTGGACATCACTCCACCACCTGTCCAGATTCAACAACTGGCAACTTTCTTCTGGAACATTCTCAACAATGACAGGGATGCCAACATGGCAATACTCGAACGACTCGAGGATCCAGATGATGACCTGACAAGACATCCGGTCCAGATCTTCTCGGCAGCAGACTTGGCTCACCTTGCCAGTCACCTGGCAGAATCCACCCGCACATTGTCAGATCAAGCCCTTCGAATGGAGGCACTTTCCGACGAGGCGTTCTGAGCTGTAGGAATAATTCAGCAGCTGATTTCTTCCCTGTATTTTGATTTTGCGTTAATCGCTACATCCTGCTTCAGGGCCCCAATAAGAGCTTTCTGAACCATTACGGAAATGGCAAAAAGTAGCCTCGCGGCAGCGAGGCGTGTGTGTGGACCATCTGAACAGATGTAAAACTTCTATCCGGTACTTCGGTGCACTTTTGTTTTTTGTCAAGGTTCATGATTTTCTGTTTTCAATTTCACGCAGGGGGCAGTAGCACCATTGCAAGTCTACTGCCAACGAAGACACTTGCAATTGGTGGTGATACCAGACCTGATCAGTCTGGCGTACCTGCTAACCTTCAGAAATGGGAAGAGGCTCAACCCAAGAACCTCCATGCCGTCCAATTGACAATTTCAATTTTCTGCACTGTTGTCGCAATCTGGAATTATTTTGGTCTATTTCGACTGGTTCAGCTGCATCAGAACATTCCTTTGAGCAAGGACGTAGAAAGTATACTTCGCACTGAAGTTCACGTTGGGTCATCCAATTTCTCCTGTCAGGTTTAACTGAAGTGTTTTTTGCACGTGAGATGCATTCCACATCAGTAATTCGATAAGATGCTTCTGAGCAAGTGTGTGAAAGTTGTGTGTGAAAGAGAGGGTATGAACAAAGTTGTGTGTGAAAGATGGTGTGTGACAAGAGAGACCCATGCGCGCCACCAGAGCCAGCCCAGTGCCATAAGTGCCACGCCTGCCACGCAAAGTGACGGTCGATGTCTCCAAGTGCCACGCCTGCCACGCAAAATGAAGGTCGATGTCACCAAGTGCCACGTCTGCCATGCAAAATGAAGGTTGATGTCACCAAGTGCCACGCCTGCCACACGACAGCCAGCCGCGGCCCAAGCGGCGACCACGCACGCAGCAGCTCCGCCAGGAGGCTCTGTGTACTGCGCCTACCAAACGAAAGCCAGCCGCGGCCCAAGCGGCGACCACGCGCGCAGCCCATGGTCCACCATTCATCTAGGTTCACCATCATAAAGCTTAGATACAACAAGGCTTGGCATGTGATGTAATATGAGGTCAGTGAGTTGCTATGCTCTTCGCATCTCCGCCTGTCACGCCTACCGCGGGCGGCCACGCGCGCCGCAGCTCCTGCAGAAAGCCAGCCGCGGGCCAGCGGCGCAGCTCTGCCAGGATGCTCTGTGTGCTGCGCCTGCCACATGCAGCTCAAGCTCTGTGTACTGCGCCTGCCACACGAAAGCCAGCGGCGGCCACGCGCGGCAGCTCCTCCAGGAAGCTCTGTGTACTGCGCCTTTCACAGGAAAGCCAGCCGCGGGCCAGCGGCGGCCACGCGCGCCGCAGCTCCGCTAGGATGCTCTGTGTGCTGCGCCTGCCACATGCAGCTCAAGGTGTGTGTGCTGCGCCCGCCACACAGAAGCCAGCCGCGGGCCAGCGGCGGCCACGCGCGCCGCAGCTCCGCCAGAAGGCTCTGTGTAGTGCGCCTGCCACACGAAAGCCAGCCGCGGGCCAGCGGCGGCCACGCGCGCCGCAGCTCCGCCAAGGCACTGTGTGTGTAGTGCGCCTGCCACATGAAAGCCAGCCGCGCCGCGCCGCAGCTCCTCCAGGAAGCTCTGTGTACTGCGCGCGCCCAGTGTGATGAGGTGTGGAGTGAGATGTGATGAGGAAGATGCGATGAGAGATGTGATAAGCGAGGTGTGAGAAGTGGAGCTGTGATGAGTTGTGATAAGTAGTGCTTTGATGAGTGAGGTGTGATGAATGATGAGTGAGGTGTGATGAGTTTTCCTGTGATGAGTGAGGTGGGATGAGTGAGGTGTGATGAGTAGTGCTTTGATGAGTGAGGTGTGATGAGTGAGGTGGACGGCGGCGGGCGGACGCGGAAGCGGCGCGGCGGGTGCCAAGCGAAAAACAAGAACCCCACACAGTGATGTGGGGAACAACTCCAAAAAGAATGGCAAAGTTGAAAAAACATCCAGACAAGAGGATGCGAGGCAAGCTCGCAGCAAGCGAAATTCTATAGCTACTTTACCTGGGTTTTCACTTGCGGGTAAGCAACAAACGGCTTTGTTCATGTGAGCTGGGCATTTTGGGGCCCTGAGAGGCCAGTGACGCAAAGTAGCAGGTTGACGGCCCATGCTAAGGATTGAATCAGAGCACAGCGGTTTGAAGGAGTTCTTCCGCCAGAATGGAGTCGCTTGGCGATGCCATGTCAGACCAGCTTGGCATATTCTTCACATCGACGTGGTCCTCGACGTGATCCTGAATGATTCTGTCAGGTCTGTCTGACTGCTGGCATCATTGTGGCAGACGTGGTTGGTGCAGGGATTTTGGCCATGCCTCTCGCGGGATGCCGAGCCTTCCATCAGGCATTGAACATATACATTTTTCCGATTGCCGTGACATTCCCATACGAACCCCAGTGGTATGGGAAGTCGGAAGGTTTTGGGATTGGTGATTTTCACCGAATTTGGGATCTTAGGCTGTGGCGAACTTTGGCCTAGTCCCAGGAAGCATTGCGTTGAAATCTCAGATGAGGAAAAATGCCCAAGATTGCCCAAGCAGTGTCAATCGTGTGCCATTTTCTCTTTGGCATTCCTTAATATTCCTTACAAATTCGAGACATGAATCCACTTTCTTCAGAATAGATGAAAAGTACCGTCGTGTTCACTTTGTGCAACTGCAAGAGACAAGCGCATACCATCTTGCAAATTCCCGGCCCTTGGTTTCATGCTGGCTTTGCTGAGTGGCGTTGAATTCAATCATTGCAGAGGCTTGTCGTGTTTTTGGCAGCCAACGTGCACATTTCTATCGTGATGTGGAGAGTTCGGACCAAATGGGTGGCGGGTACTTCGGTATGGCACAGCATTGTAGGCTTCGGAAAGGCTTTGTAGACCTTGGGGGAGGATGACGCTTCATCAATTTACTAAGCGAAAAGTGCTGGTGAGGATGTTCTGCCCTACTTGCGAAAACGCCAACACCTACACCGTGCGCCGGCCAGTGGTTGTTCGATGGCAAATTAGCATTGCTTCAAGTCCCAGGTGATCCGTGATTTTAAGCACTCAACTTTTCAGTAAGTTGGGCATTTCCAACTTTGATCAACGAAAGCACCTGCAACAAAGCACCGGGCCGGCCAACCTTGCAGAATCTGCTCACAAGTGCGCGCATATGCAAAGGCCTTGGTGAGGGGTGCTTTTGCGAGTGCACCGGTCTGGCAACGTCACCTGATCTTCTCTTGCATTTTGGAGCGCCAGCTGTGTTCGGTCAGTTGGCTTGTTTTTGCTTGGCATTCCATGCTGATTTTCTGCTTCTTGTGAGTGCTCCAGGCACCTGTTGCCAACCTCCGCTTGGTATACTGAGGATGGTGGTAGTGACCGGCTTCTGCCAGAAATCCTTTATCCTGGGTATGCTGGTTCTCTATTTGATGAGTGCGGGAAAAGGCTTCGGTTTCATAGCTGCAAACAGCCCATTGCAAAATTGCAGGATCCTGTCAGTGCTGTCCCTAGACAGCTGTTGCTAGATAGTTACGTTGCTAAAAATTATGCACACCTGTCGCACATGCGATACTTTGTTTTGAGGTTCCATTAGAGTTTCCATGTGGGATATAACGAAGAAAATGCATAGGTTTTCAAGATGATCCTTAGAAGCGCATCCTCAACCGCTGTAAGGAATGATGTTCTATGAGACACAGATTTGCCTGCCGGTCTGGGTCTTCTATGCGGCTTTGTTGCTCCTTGGTGCTTGGTTACGTCAAACCTCCGGCGAACCACAGCAAAGCATTGGTTGGAATAATTGGTTGAAATATGCTGAAATCATGACTGCATGATACTGCATGTATGTAGTTGGCTGGAGTTTGGCTGAAAGTCATGACGATAGGAACGCGGCCGATGTTCCAATTGTTTGAACATTGACTCGCATCTGAGGCTGTTCCCATTTGCAGTTACAGCTCGCCGCATGGGCACCTGGCAATCGCTAGTTTGGATCAACGTGGCCACAATAATTGGAACTGTTTTGTCTGGTCCCCAGAATGCCCCAGAACCCAGAACCTGAATATGCACACTATGCCTATCTATGCCTCATCAGATTATTCGAATTCGTATCAGGTTTTTTTTTGCAGTTTTTGTAGTGTCACTGTGTCACTTCGACCTCCAGGATTCCTTTGGCCTACTATGCTTTGTATGGCACGGAGAAGTTCAGATTATCCGGAAGCAAGGTCGAAATGGTTAGCAATTTGTCGTGCAACGCCCAGTCCCGACTTGGGAAGGACTTTGGTTCAGCTGTGACTATGCTCGAACTATAAACCAGCTGTTCATTGATGGCCCTCGTTGGCCTTCGTTGGCCTCAGTCACATCCAGAGAGGTCCCGCGAAATGCTGAGCAGCGCTTCCATCTACACTTTTGGAATGACATCGCAGTTTCTGCTGGTTGAAACTTGGAAGCAAATGGTGTGTATCATGGTGTATCGGTGTATCATCCAGATTGCAATGGGACAAATAAAGTCATAGGATAGCTGCATTCAGTTCGTAGACATGACTTGTTGGGTCCTTGGCTACTGTGAGATAATGCCAATGGTAGAGAATGGGCATAGGATCAGAATGCAGAGGATCGGTATGCGGTATGCAAATCTCTGAGCTGCACTGCATTCAAAAGGATGTCAGTGCATCGCAGTTCACTTGGTCGTGTTTTCGGAGACTTCCGTCTTTTCTTGATATGCCGATGACTAGTAGAACCGGAGTGCTCGGAAAGGCATTACAGGCAAACCTTTGTAGCAATAGCAAGGGATGCGCTAAGGAAATCATTGCAGAGATGAAGGAACCCTTGAAAATGCCAATCGCATACGTGTGCACCTCAGCTTTCAGTTCTTGATTTGTTTGCAGATGCTTCATGTGAGTTCTTGGGTCCTGATGTTTCGCTCGATCCCTTTGGGTCTAAGGCCGCAGTCTCCGCTCCTTTGCAGCTGGTTATGTTTGCAGTGGCTGGCATTGGGGGCTACCTGTGCATGGGCAACAAGGCCAGAGAAGACTCGTTCACTCGACTTGTCGAGCTCTTTCTGATCTGTTCGGACGGAAACATTGGCCCATGGTGATGCCCATGTAACCCATGTATGTTAATTGAGGTAGATGGGATGATGACACTCAACTGCACAGTTATGCAAACAGAGCTATGCTTGCCAGCGCATCCCGCTCGATTCAGACTAGTTCCTGCTGGATTTTTCTTGGCTTCCCCTTGGCATCCTTTCAGCTACGTTTTCTCGCCTAGGCCTCTTGATTTTTGACCCATCATCGCTTGCCTAGTTCAACTCTGATGCAACAAGGAATGAAAATCTTCCCTTCGGCGGTGCCTTTCAACTTGCAGCGGGACTGATGTGAGGGGCAGAAGGGAAGGAATTTTTGTGCTGTCCTTGAGCTTGGTGGTGCACAAACTGTCAGGATGTATGCTCACCCACATGCTGATCTCTTACCTGATCAAAGGACTGTAAACAGTCCAAACGTATGTGAAGTGTCATTTATGGACTCGCAGGTGCAAGTTGCCACAGGCTAGCTGGAGACAAACCCAGCCTTGCCCCTCAAAATCCTTGTAAGTCACTCCTGACCCTGCTTGTGGCAATTTATTCATCATGGCCCAGCTTGAGATGAATGTCACTTAGATCCAGAATAATGGCTGAGCGGCTGTTGCAAAGCCAAGGGCTGCGGTTCTTCCTTCAAGGGTGGGGGGGTTGATGACATTCATGAGGCATTCTTGAGGCTTCATGAGGGTCTTTTCAGGAGTGGTCCTTTGCAAGTCGGTGCACAGACTCGCAGATGCTAAATACGCTGATGCAAGTGACAATCGATTGAGGTCATGGACTCTTGGCCTTTGGCGCTGAGCACTCATAATCGAAATCAATGATTTGTGCTTGAACTATTTCTTGCTTGAATACGTTCTTGCTTACCACATCAATATTTCTGCTGTAATCGAAGTAATTGCAGTTGCTTTTGTGTTTTGAGGATTGTTTGGATGCACCTAGGCGGCATTGATTGATGGTAAATCTGCACTAGACCTAGACCTAGCCAGCCACCGAAAACATCCTCAATTGCGGGGTTGGGTTCGATGGCAAGATTCTTCATCATTTACAAGGTCTACATCCCAACCAGTGGTCACTAGCCAGCACAACTGAGATGCATCGTCTCCTTGATGCTTCTTCTTGCGTGGTTCTTGGCGAACATTGTGCCCTTTTTCGGAGCAGCAGTAGACCTTCTGGGTGCAAGCGTTACGCCGTCGCATCCTCAGTGACGAGTGCGGAACTCTGAGCCGCTAGTTGAGAATGTTTCAACGACATCTCAGCGATGAAATGGTGCAAGCGGATGAACAACAAGGATATCATGTTGGCTGGTTCCGCTTATTCTCTACATGCGGTGGCTCTGCTGCAATTTCTTGAAACTATTTGGATCCCGGTTCATCGATCGGTTTTCTTTCCCAAATCCGTTTGTCAGTAGGATGCAAGAGCTGGAGTGCCAAATCTTCGATCTTTCGATTTGGCTTTCCTTCCCCACAGTAGTCCACCATAGATGGGCACTCCTCTCACTTCCCACTGTGCTTGCAGAACCTCCAGCATTGAACAGCCAACAATGCCAGGTCCCTTGTTTGTTTCAAACAAAGCCCATGACACAGTGACGCATCACATATCAATGGCGGGGAGACGTGTACGATTGGGGCATATTGAGGGAAAGCATTCAGCATGATTTGGAGCTTTATTTCGAAGGCCCAGGCTCAGTTGACGGGCCGTCATTGTGGGGTGTGGGCCATAGGTTGCTTTCGTTCTGATGCATCCTTTGCCAAGGATGTGTTGTGACTATCCGGACTGGGACTGCGAAGACCCTAAAAGTAGCAGCAGGTGTTGCTTGGCTGCCTTGGCTGCCTTGGTTGCGCGCTATCCGAATGAAGCATGACACTTCCTGCTTCTTGCTGCAGGCTTTTCTTGTGGTCAACGCCTCTAGAACGGCTGTGATATGCCATGACAGGTTCTAGATTCCTGAAAAGCCTGGAGTGGGTTGCAATAGGCAGGGGCCCACCGTGCATAGATCCTTGAATGTCTCACACGACCGGCTGTACGCATCAAACTGTCAGCCGGATTCGGATGCCCAGTTTCTGGGCGCCTTGCTGAGCAGTTTGAGTCTTCCAGGCCTTGAGTGTACCCTTGCGCTGCTCCTACTACTCTTCGGCACTGGTTCGTCTTTGCGCACCATTGCCAAGGACAAGCGTCGGACAAGCTGTTGCCGGACTCGTTGCCCAAAGGAATCTTTGCTTGTGATGTCAGGAGTGGTCCACCTACGGCGAGCCGTTTGAATGCCATTGTGAAGGCTTGCACGCGTATTTCTGGCTCATCAAACTTATGAAGAATTGGTGAAGAACTTCTTTCACCCAGCAATGGTTTTGACTGACCGCCTTATCGCACTTGCAGAAACCAGCAGAGATAGCTACTTTTTAATCTTTGGCAATCCACATCAATGTGTCCGAATCCCAGCCATCCACTAAAGAGCTGGATTTTGGGTTTTGGGCAAGACCCAGTTTTTGTTGGTAGGGACTTGGTCGATTCGTGATTTGGGGCCTGGCTCCGTTCACTTGCACTCTGCTGGATTTCAAGCTACGGACGAAGAACTGCATAGATGCTGCCAGTCCCCATTGAATCGAAACATAGGAATGTCCACGTGTTTTGGCCACTGACTCTCAGGACTTTGGAAGACATGCAGCTGCTCCGCAAGCCATGCGGGGTGGCTTGATCAAATCTATTTCAAACCATGCCACTCAACAGTTGAGTCTCAACTTTGAGCATCCAGTAAGATATCAACGGACCTTTGGTATCTTTTGGGAATGTTGACCAAGGATGGTTGATATTTGCCCTCTGCCCACCTAGCAGCGACAGCAGTGAGGGATCAGAATCACTTGGTCTCTAGTGACTCTAGTGGCTGGCTGAGCCGAACGTAAATAGATGTCGAATGGCGTTGCGACTCTTGTTTTAGAACGGTCCAGCCGCTCGTGCAAAGGGCTCCTGTGCTTTGCAATACGTGTGCTATGGGGGCACTGGGTGTCTTGCTTCAAGCTGTCCCCCGCTAGCCGCTATCCCATGCTGTCCCCCAGGCCTGGCTCCTGCCTTTGGCTCCAGCTTCCTTAAGCAGCTTGTGGGCCACAGCATCTCAATTTACACATGTGCATGCAGCAGGGATTGAAGTCAAGGCAGAACATCACTACCAAGTTGTTTTCACTCTGCATCTACGCACGTACCTCCAGCCCCTGTGTAAGCTTTCAATCATCATAGAGGCTCGGAAGTCGCAATGCGCTGGCCCATTGTGCTGCTACTGTGTACCTGCCTTGCGGCTGAAGCTTCCTTCAGCTCGCTTGATGAGTGCCAAACAGACTCGGGGCATTGTGAGGGGGGCCACATGGGGCCACATTTTCAACAGTGCCAGCTACTTTCTGCTTTGGGCCCAGATGGACGCAACATGACATGATCAATCCGATTTTCATCCCTTTTTCTCGCCTTCATTATAGAATACGGTGTGCATTATGAGGAGCCATGAAGGCAGCAGCACAAACACACATGTACTGGAACACTCAAACCAAGTATTTCGAGTCTCTTCCCTATGCTTTCCCATTGCGCCCACTGCTAGAGTTGCGTTTGTTTTGGTTTGCCCCCCGGGTATGTGATTTGCATTAAGCAGCCTTTGCAATCATTTGGTGAGCTCAGTCAAACAGTATATATATTAGGATTGTTGCAAAGGGTGACATCTTCATCAAGACAGTCCTTTGCCTAGGTGATGCCCATGTTTATCCTCTCAAAGACTTCTACTGTAATTTCAAGGCTTCAAGTTGGAACCAATAGCGAAGAAACAAAAACAGGTTGGAGTCGCGGTGCAGAAAGGGGCAACCCCAAGCTCAAGCTGAATCATCGCCGCCACATTCTTCTGTCAAGTTTTATGCGGGGCGGTCTCAACATTTGAGACCAAACATATGAGGTCCTTGCAGATGGTTTATACCAAGCACAGGAGTCCATAAGCTTGGGGTTGCCAGTGCACGCATGTTCTTGCATTTGACAGAAACCTTCTCCTTCTGTGTGCTTCCTCAGGAATACCAGCGTTTGGCCTCCCAAGCGAGCAACGGAGAAGGTTGGAATTACATTGGAACTGAGCCATGGGGGGAGTGGGGAGGGTAAAAAACTACGTGGCTAAACCGGCTAAACCGGTATTGCAGTGAATTGCAGCTGAGCTCACCACTGTGAGGTGGCCTGCTGCCGATTGGCAGCAATGGTTTCTACAAGGTCTGCCTCATGTTGACAATGTGTGTTGGTGATTTCTGGTATGTGTGTTGGATCTGTTGGATATTGTGACAGCGCATGTCGGCATGGAGCCCTGGCAAGGCATGCCTGATGGCGCTGCTTTGCGTGGTGGGCGCAGCCTTGGCAGCAGGACTTACCATGGGATTGGTGTCAATCGATCCTATGGAGATGGAAATCATCGTGAAGACAGAGGACAAGGACAGCATCACACATGGCTGCAGGATCTAAAAACAACCCATGGACACATAGGAGATATAGGAGCTTGATAGTGTCATTCATGTATGATTTCTGCATGATCCATTTTCACGTGCGTGGAGCCTGGCTGAAGAATGAAGCAGACCCCAGGCTGATGAAGATGGTAAGGCCTAGGGAGCACATCCCCAAGCTTGAAGTAGGAATAAGATGGAATAAGCTTATAATAAGATGGAATAAGTCAGATGTTGATGTCGATGATGGTGATGCCCTCACATGCCTTGACATTTCGCTGCATGGACAGTCATGTTGAGGACATGGTGGAGGCCTCAGCGAAGCAAAAACTAAAGAAGGACAAAGCTCATGGCAGTTTGGGCCAACGATTCCAAATTTGGCTGTGATTGCAGAGGCACTTTCAGTTGCGATATTTAGAGTTTGTGTGAAGAATTTTAGGATATTTTTTGATTTGGCGCGTAAAACGTTCTTCGGAAAGGAGCCTTGATACATGTCATATGTGCAGGACCAAGCTGCAGCAGAGAGGATTCTACCGCTGATCCATGACCATCATTTGTTACTTGTTTGGGCCTTATCTGGAATATGAACCTATCTTGTCACTGTCACTTTGCCAGAAACTGCCACAACATGTCACAACATGTCACAAGATGTCACAAGATATAACGACGGAATGGTGGGCACAGTTTTGCAGACCTTGAGCTGGTCAGGTCACGCTGCTACTCATGAACTCCATTGCGAACGAAGCTCTGCCACTTTTTCTCGACCAGATCGTGCCGCCAGATGCCCAGCTTAGCTTGGCCATGCCAAATGGACCTAGAGTGATAGAGGGTTGCGATGGAACACATGAGAATTTGAGGATTTGCCAATTTGATCCGATACGGTCTGGCAATGTTTGGCTGGGCATTCAGGGTGTAGCGAGTGCTCTGTGAGGTCGTGGCTGGCTGTTGTGCTTTCCGTCTCACTGGTCTTGATGTACTGGGCTCAGTTCAGATCTGCTGATCTGCTGTGGTTTGGGTGTGCTCGACCGACAATGCAGCAGGTTTGGTGAAATTATTCCTTCTGCGGTCTTTACGGGCAGTGAGCAGCTGACAATGGCGGCCCGCTTTTCAGGGCTTGTTGGACGCTTTCTAGCAACTTATAGCAACTTATTCAATGAGATCAATGAGATCAATGAGGTGTTGATTCTGTTGATGGTGTTGCTTCTGCAGATTCTTGGAACTCTTGGGACCGCTCTCCAGTTTGTCCACAGCCAAGGTGCCTTCATGTTCGTTCTGACGCCAGTGTCCTGGCCTATCGCCAAGCTGTGCCTTGTTTGCACTTGGCCTGGTTCGTGTACTTAGGACATAGGGATACGGGGGGGGTGAATTTCCGACCAATTTGTTGTGACTGACTTCTTGGTCTTTATGGCATCCATTTCAGATCTCTGTGAGCGTGCCAGTTCGATCTGAGGCTGGATCGTGTGCTTGGTGCCGATCACAAGGGCCGGTATAATTTCGCCGCTTGCTTGGGCAGCATGCCAGGTTGCGGTGGATTAGCAACCAAAAAGAAAACAATTTGCGATTGTCACTGTCACATAGTCGATAGTTGTCCACACACATTGAGCTCACAGGGTCTATGGTTCGGTGTGCGACATTTTGACCGCGCTGCCCCTTATGCGAGTTCCTTCAACGCACAATACCGACGAAGCCTGGCGCGTGATATTAGCCATGAGAATGTAGGAACTTCTTTCCACTTTGCTGTGCTCTTTTTTTGACATGATCTGAGCTCAATAGCTCAATCTCTCAACGCCAGATCCTCTCCCAAGTGCACGCGCTCGGGAGCCCTTCGGTAATACGTGTTCAAAATGACGGCATGGTGCTTCTTCAGAGCTTGTAGTACCGCATCCAAAGCATTTGGAGCACATGCGACACGACACAGCAGTGCACATGACTTGCGCAGTGTTAGGTACATGGGACGTGTTTGTATTTTTTTTGGCAACTCTGTGCTCATGATATATTGCGCGTGCAAGTGTGCTTTGCAAACTGTGGTGTGCTCCCAAACATGTGCTGACTCTCCCTCTCGCTCTCTCTCTCTCGAGTGTCTTCAAGTCAGAACTTCCGAGAAGTCAGTTTGGTATGAGCTACTAGCCTTTGCGGACTGTTTGGTGTCATTTGCTGGGCTAAAGAAAAATCCAGTCTTTCGCTTTTTTGCACCGCAGTAGTCTGTGCTCGCCACCAGTCACCATGTACCGAGGCAGAACTGAGGGCCATCGTGTCAATGCACGCTGGGCTGCGATTAGGTGGAGAAGAGGATGACCAGGCGTCCATTGCAGCTTTCTCATACTTTCTCCTCAAACATCTCAAACTCACAGATGTTACAGTCTTGTGCGCTGCTTGTCCTCCAGCTCTGATGCCAGGTGGTTTTCAAATCCCATGACCTTGAAGAGCAGGGTATAATTTACACTCTGCAGCCTCACAACTTCAACTCCGAGAGTGTTGCCGCGCGCTTAGCGGCCTCATGAGCCGCTTCAAACAGCGGGCTTCAATGGAGTAAAACCAGAAGGGCAAGTGCAGCTCAGTGCAGATGCTGTTCCAAAACTGATATTTAAGGGCTGCCGCCCCTGCCGCCGACCCCGGAAGAATTGGCAAGCCGTCAGAACGTATATATGGTACAGGCCTGCACCCCCCCCAAAAAAAATGGGGAAAGGATGTTCCTGGGACAGTTTTACACGCATTGTTGCCTGTTATGGTTTTTATGTTAAAGGGGAACGTGCGTTCCTTGGTGTTGATGTTTTTTGTGATGTATGTTGTAAGACATTTTTGGTAAAAACGTTTCATCCTAACCTTGTTGATTATTTTAGGGGAGTATCATTGATTGGGTCAGGATTTGTTGAGGTTGTTAGGGTTTTAAAGTTTTCATTTATTCAACTAAGATTTGAAAAGAAGGGAATGTATCATTAAGATTGTCTATTATTTCTTGATGACTTAACGGTTCTGTCATTTCTTCATTGTTTGATTGTTTTTGTGTTTTTCCATTATCTTTTTGTTTTTGACCGGAATTGTTGGTTTGTGCTCATGGTTTTTTCTTTCCATTTCTTTTTAGGATGGTGTGTCTGCCTAACGTCCCTTCTGAAATCCTAGAAAAACAACATTTTTCCGAAAACAACTTCGAAAAAAGCATAAAAGCAGCTCCCGGCAGGAAAACACCATGGCTCTGAAGGACGAACTAGTTTTAAAACCACGCCAAAAAAGTGCCTAACGTCCCGTCTGAAATCCTAGAAAAACAACATTTTTCGAGAATTTCTGTTGCCTGCGGCCGCTCGCAGGAAAACAACTTCGAAAAAATCACCTCCCGGGGGGGAAAACACCAGGGCTCTGAAGGACGAGCGAGTGCCAGAACCACGCCAAAAAAGTGCCTAACGTGTCGTCTGAAATCCTAGAAAAATCTAGATTAGATTTTTGGTAGGCTGCTGGCTACTGGCTGCTGGCTGCTACTGGCGCTGGCTGCTAGCTACTGGCTATGTGCACCTTTTGCGTGCTCTTGCCCACGTTCTTGACACCCATTAGTGCCATCCTAGAAAAACACAATTTTTCGTGCTGCTAGCTGCTGCACTGCTACCATTGCGCTTACTGCTGCTGCGTCTGCTTGTGTCTGCTGCTGCCTGCTGCTGCCTGCTGCCTGCTGCTGCCTGCGGGCAGCTCCCCTTTGCGTCGGCCGGTCCCGTCTGAAATCCCAGAAAAACAACTTTTTTCGAGAATTTCTGTTGCCTGCGGCCGCTCGCAGGAAAACAACTTCGAAAAAAGCAGCTCCCGGCAGGAAAACACCATGGCTCTGAAGGACGAACTAGTTCCAAAACCACGCCAAAAAAGTGCCTAACGTCCCGTCTGAAATCCTAGAAAAACAACATTTTTCGAGAATTTCTGTTGCCTGCGGCCGCTCGCAGGAAAACAACTTCGAAAAAAGCAGCTCCCGGCAGGAAAACACAATGGCTCTGAAGGACGAACTAGTTCCACAACCACGCCAAAAAAGTGCCTAACGTCCCGTCTGAAATCCTAGAAAAACAACCTTTTTCGCAGGAAAACAACTTCGAAAAAAGCAGCTCCCGGCAGGAAAACACCATGGCTCTGAAGGACGAACTAGTTCCAAAACCACGCCAAAAAAGTACCTAACGTCCCGTCTGACATCCTAGAAAAACAACCTAACGTCCCGTCTGAAATCCTAGAAAAACAACGTTTTTCGAGAATTTCTGTGCCTGCGGCCGCTCGCAGGAAAACAACTGCGAAAAAAGCAGCTCCCGGCAGGAAAGGACGAACTAGTTCCAAAACCACGCCAAAAAAGCTAACGTCCCGTCTGAAATCCCCCGGCAGGAAAACACCATGGCTCTGAAGGACGAACTAGTTCCAAAACCACGCCAAAAAAGCGCCTAACGTCCCGTCTGAAATCCTAGAAAAACAACATTTTTCGAGAATTTCTGTTGCCTGCGCCCGCTCGCAGGAAAACAACTTCGAAAAAAACATAAAAGCAGCTCCCGGCAGGAAAACACTATGGCTCTGAAGGACGAACTAGTTCCAAAACCACGCCAAAAAAGTGCCTAACGTCCCTTCTGAAATCCTAGAAAAACAACCTTTTTCCGAAAACAACTTCGAAAAAAGCATAAAAGCAGCCCCCGGCAGGAAAACACCATGGCTCTGAAGGACGAACAACCTTTTTCGCAGGAAAACAACTATGAAAAAAGCAGCTCCCGGCAGGAAAACACCATGGCTCTGAAGGACGAGCTAGTTCCAAAACCACGCCAAAAAAGTGCCTAACGTCCCGTCTGAAATCCTAGAAAAACAACATTTTTCGAGAATTTCTGTTGCCTGCGGCCGTTCGCAGGAAAACAACTGCGAAAAAAGCAGCTCCCGGCAGGAAAACACCATGGCTCTGAAGGACGAGCTAGTTCCAAAACCACGCCAAAAAAGTGCCTAACGTCCCGTCTGAAATCTAAGAAAAACAACCTTTTTCGAGAATTTCTGTTGCCTGCGGCCGCTCGCAGGAAAACAACTGCGAAAAAAGCAGCTTCCGGCAGGAAAACACCATGGCTCTGAAGGACGAACTAGTTCCAAAACCACGCCAAAAAAGTACCTAACGTCCCGTCTGAAATCCTAGAAAAACAACATTTTTCGAGAATTTCTGTTGCCTGCGGCCGCTCGCAGGAAAACAGCTTCGAAAAAAGCAGCTCCCGGCAGGAAAACACCATGGCTCTGAAGGACGAACTAGTTCCAAAACCACGCCAAAAAAGTGCCTAACGTCCCTTCTGAAATCCTAGAAAAACGACATAAAACAACATAAAACAACTTTTTTCGAGAATTTCTGTTGCCTGCGGCCGCTCGCAGGAAAACAACAAACATAAAAGCAGCTCCCGGCAGGAAAACACCATGGCTCTGAAGGACGAACTAGTTCCAAAACCACGCCAAAAAAGTGCCTAACGTCCCGTCTGAAATCCTAGAAAAATAACATTTTTCGAGAATTTCTGTTGCCTGCGCCCGCTCGCAGGAAAACAACTTCGAAAAAAACATAAAAGCAGCTCCCGGCAGGAAAACACCATGGCTCTGAAGGACGAACTAGTTCCAAAACCACGCCAAAAAAGTGCCTAACGTCCCTTCTGAAATCCTAGAAAAACAACCTTTTTCCGAAAACAACTTCGAAAAAAGCATAAAAGCAGCTCCCGGCAGGAAAACACCATGGCTCTGAAGGACGAACTAGTTCTAAAACCACGCCAAAAAAGTGCCTAACGTCCCGTCTGAAATCCTAGAAAAACAACCTTTTTCGAGAATTTCTGTTGCCTGCGGCCGCTCGCAGGAAAACAACTTCGAAAAAATCACCTCCCGGGGGGAAAACACCAGGGCTCTGAAGGACGAGCGAGTGCCAGAACCACGCCAAAAAAGTGCCTAACGTGTCGTCTGAAATCCTAGAAAAATCTAGATTAGATTTTTGGTAGGCTGCTGGCTACTGGCTGCTGGCTGCTACTGGCGCTGGCTGCTAGCTACTGGCTATGTGCACCTTTTGCGTGCTCTTGCCCACGTTCTTGACACCCATTAGTGCCATCCTAGAAAAACACAATTTTTCGTGCTGCTAGCTGCTGCACTGCTACCATTGCGCTTACTGCTGCTGCGTCTGCTTGTGTCTGCTGCTGCCTGCTGCTGCCTGCTGCCTGCTGCTGCCTGCGGGCAGCTCCCCTTTGCGTCGGCCGGTCCCGTCTGAAATCCCAGAAAAACAACTTTTTTCGAGAATTTCTGTTGCCTGCGGCCGCTCGCAGGAAAACAACTTCGAAAAAAGCAGCTCCCGGCAGGAAAACACCATGGCTCTGAAGGACGAACTAGTTCCAAAACCACGCCAAAAAAGTGCCTAACGTCCCTTCTGAAATCCTAGAAAAACAACATTTTTCGAGAATTTCTGTTGCCTGCGGCCGCTCGCAGGAAAACAACTTCGAAAAAAGCAGCTCCCGGCAGGAAAACACAATGGCTCTGAAGGACGAACTAGTTCCACAACCACGCCAAAAAAGTGCCTAACGTCCCGTCTGAAATCCTAGAAAAACAACCTTTTTCGCAGGAAAACAACTTCGAAAAAAGCAGCTCCCGGCAGGAAAACACCATGGCTCTGAAGGACGAGCTAGTTCCAAAACCACGCCAAAAAAGTGCCTAACGTCCCGTCTGAAATCCTAGAAAAACAACCTTTTTCGAGAATTTCTGTTGCCTGCGGCCGCTCGCAGGAAAACAACTGCGAAAAAAGCAGCTCCCGGCAGGAAAACACCATGGCTCTGAAGGACGAACTAGTTCCAAAACCACGCCAAAAAAGTACCTAACGTCCCGTCTGAAATCCTAGAAAAACAACATTTTTCGAGAATTTCTGTTGCCTGCGGCCGCTCGCAGGAAAACAACTTCGAAAAAAGCAGCTCCCGGCAGGAAAACACCATGGCTCTGAAGGACGAACTAGTTCCAAAACCACGCCAAAAAAGTGCCTAACGTCCCGTCTGAAATCCTAGTGCCTAACGTCCCGTCTGAAATCCTAGAAAAACAACATTTTTCGAGAATTTCTGTTGCCTGCGCCCGCTCGCAGGAAAACAACTTCGAAAAAAACATAAAAGCAGCTCCCGGCAGGAAAACACCATGGCTCTGAAGGACGAACTAGTTCCAAAACCACGCCAAAAAAGTGCCTAACGTCTCTTCTGAAATCCTAGAAAAACAACATAAAACAACATAGAAAAACAACATAAAACAACCTTTTTCGAGAATTTCTGTTGCCTGCGGCCGCTCGCAGGAAAACAACTTCGAAAAAAGCAGCTCCCGGCAGGAAAACACCATGGCTCTGAAGGACGAACTAGTTCCAAAACCACGCCAAAAAAGTGCCTAACGTCCCGTCTGAAATCCTAGAAAAACAACATTTTTCGAGAATTT